CACACACACACACACACACACACACACACACACACACACACACACACACACGTACAAACTTGGCAGTTAGGAAATGTCAGTGCACTTGTTAGAAGGTGAAATTTCAGTCCCTTTGATGAAGATACCATCTTTCAGCCAAGCCCTAACAAAACCTTTGGTGCCTGTTAGACCCCCTCCCACGCTATTCAGTGACTGGGCTCCATCTGGAGGGAGGGGGCTTTTCCTCTCCAGAGCTAAGCGTTCCCAGACCCACCAGCAGCCTTGAGTTCCTGCAGAGCACTCAAAGTACAGAGAAGTGTCCCAACTCTGAAAAGGGCAGCTAGAAATGGATTTAAAACGGCGACACATCCGGGCAGACATTTACAGGGGCCTCAAGTACAAGGAACGTGGCAGAGTCTAGTTCCTCGCTTATGGTTGCAGAATAGGCTTTTTTATTCCACGGTGGTCTGTATCTTTGCAAGAAAAACAATTCTTCACTGGGTGATCATTTTTATTTTGGAGTTGATCCAAGACAATTTTGGGCGTGATGTGTGAAAATCTGAACCTAAGATTTTTTTTTTTCCTTTCAGTTTTGTGTTATTCAAGGATGAAAAAGAGATACATTTGAGAACATTCTCCACCTTTTAAAAACTGACTGTGGTCATGTTGATGTTCACATAACCCAGAAACAGCCCAGGCTATAAAATTAGGACTTGGCAGAAAGGAATTTTGAGGGAGAAGGTTAAATGAAGGTAAACTGAAGGAAGAGTTAGGCAACTGGTACAGTTGTGGGGGAAAAGAATCACTAAGGCCACTATACACTGTGGGCATCCGAAGACGGGTGTGCAGCGCCAGTTCCAGTAGTCATTCCCGGAGGAATAAAAAGCCCGATGAAGTTGGCGCGCTCCGTGTTCCTGTGTGCAAGTGTGTGCATTTGTTGCGAATGTGCTTGCTGGGCCGGCCCTCCGTGTGCCTGGAAGTGTGCGTAAGCACGCGTTTGTTAGCGTGTGAGTTTATCAGTGGAATGTGTATGTGTGCACGTGCAGCTGTGTGCAAATGTGTGTGCGATCATACGCGTGGGCGCATGTATCTTTGTGCATGCTGTGTTTGTGCACCGGCCAGCGTGCTCTAGGGTGAGGGCAACTCTCAACCGAGCGATGGTCTCGGGGAGGCGCCCTTGGCTGCCCTTTCCCGGGGCTGAAATAGAAGGCGGCGGCGGTTGGCCCTGAATGCTTCCGGCCACCTCCTGGCTCCTCTCGGTGCAAGCGCAGGTAGTGGTCACGCTTTCTAAGGTGGCTTTGAGACTTTTTATCTCAGTTTCCTAGGACCAGGGGTAACCTCGGACGGCAAGAGGGACTAGACCGGCGGCGAGCCGGGCTGGAGAGCCTAGGCCCTGCCTCTTTAACCCCACCGCCGGCGGGAGCACGTGAGCCGGGGCTCCGGGTGGCACTCGGGCGCCGCCGCCGCCAAGGCAGTTGTATTTCGAACGCTGCCTCTGGCGGGCGGCCAGGCGCCTAGGCTCGGCGGTCCGCCCGGCCTCCCCCACTCCTCTTGCTTCTCCCGCAGCCCCCTCCCCTTTATCCACCCACGCTCAGAGGTGGGCAGTTCCCCCCCCCCGCCACCCCCTCCGAAAGCGCGCGCGCGCACACACACACACACACACGCACACATACATACTCTCACGCACTCACACGCATCCCCCTTGAATCCCGTTCAGTAACTCAGCAAACTTTCTGCTCCAGCCGCGGCCAGCAGCTTGTTTCTCCACGACATTGCAGTGCTGCCGCCTGCCCCCGCCACCCGAGGCGGCGCGGTGCCACCCACTGCTCTGTTTCTTGCTAGAGTTGAGCTGTGCATCCTACCCGATCCCGGCAGAACCTTCCCATTCTCTCCCTGCTTTCCGACCGCACAAGGGTCAGTCTGTCTCTCTGTCTCT